GACCCTAATTTTCAATTGATATCGGTTGTGTATATCTGCCCAAGTTATTGCTGGATACTCGATCAAATTTTGCTTCAGCCAACGTGATGCTATTGAACTTTGCTCGTTCAACCCTTGGGTGAAAGCTTGTACTGCCCAATCATTTGTGACCGGTGGCAATTCCATGCGTTCCATTTGAAATCGGGATACGAATTCCCTCAGCATTTCATTACCCCTTTACTTTAATTTGATGAGGTTTGATTTCCTTGTTGCAACCTTTATGGCACCAACATGTGCCTTTACGAACGAATCTACTAACATGGCAAAAGAATCGATGGAATTTGGCGGTAGATTGTGATACCAGATCATTTCTTCCTTCGAGAGGGTCTCCCCGAACTTTTTCAACAACACGGATTCGATCTCATCGTCCTCCAAATCATTACCCTTGATGGCACATGTGTAAGAGGTGACGTGTTCGTTAGGATCACTCGTACTGTTATATTTGGGAATTTCGGGCATACTGAGTTTTTTCGGGATTAGTTTTGGGGCCGCACTCGAAGAGAAAGGCTTTTGTATGAATTTTTTTGAATCCATCCCCTTTATCATTGGTGGAGCTCCCGGGATCTGATCGACCCTAGAATTATAAGTTTTTACTTTTTTATCGTTGGCTTCGACTCGCCTTGTGAGTTCCTCGAGCAATTTAGCAATTTCGGGAGTAGTCCCCGATTCTTGCTCATTTGACTTCACTATGGCTGGTTCAGTTCTGTGGGTGATTTCTTGGGGTGGATTGGGCTCCGGCCTGCTTTGTAGCTGGGTTTGGCTTTGCAATTAGGCTATTGCTGCCTGTTGGGCTTACAACATTTCGAAAATCATACGCAAGCTAACACCATTTTCGTTGACGTTATGAGTATCTCGGACCGCAAACCGAGTTCCACCATGGATGTTATTCTCGGGTACAACATGTAGGTTCGCCTCAATGGCTACATGCGAATTGATATCAATTGGCGCTCCGATTCCAGATCCAACGGTGTTCACAAGTGGTCTTACAGTACTGGGTGTCAAGTTGTTGTTTTCGTCTTGAAGACCGCCCCCGTTATCGATCGGTGAAGCTATTTGATTGATGGTTATTCGTAGCTGATCCGAAATTCAAGATATTTTCGGAAATAAGCGCAAAGCACAATTGCGTGTTTTTCAGATTTGTATCAAATAACCACTATTATCCTCGGCCACACGGTGAGCGCCAAACTGTTTACCCGAAAAATGGATAGAGTTAAATTTATACGTAGTTCCGAGGATATGTGGCGTAACTTAACACAAATTGTAAGGATAAATAGAAATATAAATATGGATTGCAGAGAATGCGAAATAGATAAGGTTGTAAGGAACAATGAATCTTAGGATTCAGCAAATAGAATCAATCTAAGAAATCTGAAAGAACGATTCTTTACTGTAGAAGAATATAGCGTTTTTATTACAATGTAAGCCTAAGGAAAAACTTGTCCTCCAGAAATGGTAACCAAGCCCTTTTATAGTGGAGGGATTTGGCTCTAAGCATAATAAAATAAATATTCAGTGGGAGACCTATAATAAGTCAGCTTTTCCACAATTTCAGCCAAGATTCTCTTTAGTGGGATTGCAAAGGCTTTTGTCTGCGAGCTCGATTTTGCTTAGAGCCCTCGATTTTGGTTTGAGATCGATCTCGACTCGAGCTCTTGATCTTGGTTCAAGTCCGATCCTAGCTCGATCTCTCGAATTGATTCGAGGTCAATTTTGGTTGGTCTCCGGATTATGAGCATGACAGATCTGTTCTGCATCATGGTTCGATTTGGATTCGAGCTTGATAATGATATCGAACTCGACACGGATCGGCCTTCCCGGGTTCGAGTTTAGTTTGTTCCACCTTCGGGATCTTACTTCGATAGATCATTGTTCGAACTCGATCGGACGAGCGAAGGCCAAAATCTATTTCGACCGTATATAATACACCAAATATAACTTACGATTCTTCTTTCAGCAATGTTTAAGCGAAGTGACATTTGACGTAGAGAATTATGCTTAAGTTGTCTGTTCGAAGTTTGGATAGTAAACCATAAAAAAGATGAAATTCAATGCTCATCTAAATCTAGTGTGAAGATTGAAAAAGAGTAAAAGTATTTGAATGCTCAAAACTAGTGAAACGAGTTTGAATGCATGTAAGTGAATCTGTGAGATGGAGTGATATAACTCCCATAGGCCAAAATAATGTAAATGACAGACCTTATATAGAATTCATATGTTTGTTAAAACATATAATCTTTTTCCAATATGTTAGCATTTTATATGCCATAGTAAGTGACGTTATAGTCATGTTCGTCATGCAATAGAAAGACATTTTTTTTCTAGAAAATATCAAGTTATTCTATATGCACTTCTAAACCAACGGTGAAAATATATAAGCTGCTAAATCGTTATAAAGGCAGCAAAAGAGTTGTCCAGGGAACTGTATAGGCCAAAATCCGTCCTTAGGATATTTAGCGTAATATGACATTAAAAGAAAGAGTCGTTCGAGCTCACCCAAGATGCAGCGAAGTCATTGGCCGAGGTGCCGACATGAATCATAATTGAGATATTGACAGACATCGCAATCGAGATGTCAACAGGGGTCGAGGTCGAGATCGATCATTGATGATAAGACTTGTAACGACTAATTTGTCAAGATAGGATACTGAAAGGGAATATTCTAATGGATATTACCTGTATTTGTACTACTAGGGTTTCCTAGAAAAAAGGTCCGAGATATATAGAAAGAAGTGACAATGATAAGGGCATGAAATATTGATTTTGATAAGAACACTTTTGAAAAGAAGACTTTCTCTCTTGCAAAAATACAAATACTACCCTTTGATAAAGATTTGGGTCCATATTATTCCCACTTTTCCACCAGATCCGAGGATTGTTCATACGAATCTTGGACCTATCTGTCATTTATTATTATCAGGAGAAATATTCGTTCAACCCACTCATTATTGGGTTAATCTTTCTCCTTATTTACTTAAATGTCACTTATTATCATTTATTGTTAGTTATACCTCCATTAATGTTCAGGCTTGGAGGATATTTTGCATTCATTGTCATCAATCATTTACGGGATCTGTCCCATCTATTATACGTTTTCAAAATTAGTGTCTAGAGCTATTATCCTTAACTAGATTTAACCCCTTGTTACATAAATTTAATAGTTTAACCGGAAATTATACTTTTTGGTCAAACAGGAACATTATGAATTGAAAATGAAAAGACCGATTTAAATTGTAAAGCTAATTATACATTGTAATAGTTAGGAGATTTAAATACTTAAGAAACATAGGAAACAAACAAATATCTAAACATAATGCATAATCTATGTGCTAGAATTTATAAATTTTCATGTAAAAATATTATGTTTATCTCTTAAAAATTAACACTGATGATGTATTTAGAGTTTAACTCGTCATCAGTTCAGATTCGGCAGAAATAACTCGATCCTCAAATATATATGAAAGTACTATCTGTTTCTGCAGTTTTTGTTGATGCAAAATCAGTCTTAAGATAGTTATAGTACAGAGTTCAGATTCCCATTTTGTTACCAATTACTTGTAAGGGAGGTACATAGGTTGGGTTGATTCCTAATTGTGTCAGATTTTTAAATCCATGGCAAGACAACCTCCACATCCGCATGAGGTGAGACACCACCAGCGATAAAGAAGCTCCTTGAGGCTTGGCTAACTGATACACTGACCAAGATCTTTCATAAGCTCATTCAGGACACAGCCGCAGTAAAGGCGAGAACATGTGCCGCAACACCAGTGGACGAGCAGCATGATCAGCCTCTTCCTCCACCCATGATGACAGGTATTACTCACAGTATTGTTAACAGTGCAAGCAATGACGCTCTTACAGCCATTCTGAAAAGGATGGAGGAAATGGAAAATGAGAACAAGACACTTCGGGATCAAATGAGAGAGCACCAAGAAAGGGTCGATAAAATACCGGGCGCTCCTAATTTATTGCTTAAGAGAGACGCTGGTCGGTTCGTCGAGCAGCCGTACAGTGATAGCGCTGCCCCGCACACCATACCAAAAACCTTTAAAATGCTGCCTTATCTGAAAATATACGATGGCACAACCGACCCCGAGGATCATGTGACCCATTACCTCACTGCCGTGAAAGGAAATGACCTCGCCAAAGAACAAGTATCCTCCATTCTGCTAAAGAAATTTGGCGAACCCCTCATGGGAGGTGCATTAACCTGGTACTCGCAACTGCCAGTACATTCTATCAAAACCTTTGAAGAAATGGCCAATAAGTTTGTGACGGCCCATGTCGGGGCCAAGAAGGCCGAGGCAAGAGTGAATGACATCTTTACTATTAAGAAGTCCCTGGGAGAAGGACCGAGGGACTTCCTCGCCCATTTCAACTGAGTAAGAATGACTTTTCCCAATGTATCAGAAGGAATGGCGACAACTGCTTTTCAAAACGGACTGAACTGGAATGGTTCAAGGGCGACAAGAAAATTATTAAGTCAGCCCCCAACAACTTGGGACGAAATACATAATTCGTATTATGCCGAAGTCCGAGCAGACGAAGACAACCTCAATGGGCCGACTCATCGACTGACCTCAGTACGAGCAGAATCCAGAAAAGATCAGAGAAGTGATATCAGAAGAGATCCAGTGGCCCCACGGCCAAACTTCGAACGACATCTCCCATATGTTAGAACTACCGCTTTATCCTCATCTCGCCATGAAGAAGACCCACCCCGATCAAGAACAGAGACTCACTGGAATGAGAAAGGTATGCAACCTTTACTATCTGCTCATAATTTTTGCGTGTCACCTATAGAGATCGTCTACGTCTTGGATAAGCTCAGACCAAAGGTAAAGTGGCCACAAAAGATGAGGCCAGACCCGAATGTCAGAAAATCAGATGCCCTCTGCGAGTTCCATCAAGAGCGAGGACAGAAAATCGAAGATTGCATCGCCCTAAGATAGGAGGTCGTAAACATGTTGCGACAAGGATACCTCAAAGGATTACTAAGCGATTGGGGAAAGACCAACTTTACCAGGGGACGCGAACAACATCAAGGGCCGCCGAAGCCGCCCTCGCCAGCCCACACCATCCACATGATCATCGGTGGCGGGAACGACCCTTCCATCAATAGCGCAAACTTCACCACAACCCATAAGCTAAAACAGTCAATCACCCACGAATGGTATGACGAACTTGAAGAAAGTATCACCTTCGATAAGTCAGATACCAACGGTTTGGAATTCCCTCACTATGACGCTCTCGTAATTACTTTACGAATTTTAGATACTGACGTAAGACGAATTATGGTGGATGTTGGGAGCAACGCGTGTATTATCCATCCCCGAGTACTCACACAAATGAAACTTGATGATAAGATAGTACCACGCTGCATCATACTAACATGCTTTAACAATGCAGTTGAACGAACATCTGGCGAGATGACACTCCCCGTCCTGGTGGGTGGCGTCACTCTGGAGACCACTTTCCACATCATGGACCAGGACACGGCATACAATGCCATAATAGGGCGACTATGGATACACATCATGAGAGCTATACCCTCCAGCTTGTACCAGATCATCAAATTCCCAACTCCATGTGGCATATTCAGCATTCGCAGGGAGCGACGCATATCCCGAGAGTACTACCGCATCGCCCTAGACTGCACGGCTACCCAACAAATGAGAGATAGAGAGAAAGAGGCATAGCAATCAATAGGGTACAGGTCGGTAAGCGATGATAGCGGGGACGTCATAAGAGACCCCGATATGGCCGAGGCCACAGGATCAACAATAGAGGACATCGACCCCGTTCAACTAGACAGAAACGACCACAACAAGAAAGCTTACATCGGCTGCAAACATCAAGAACCGGGTAAGTTTCATGAATTTTTAACTGCTAACGCGGACTTGTTCGCTTTTAGCCACGTAGATATGCCAGGCATCCCAAAAGAGATTGCCACACACAAATTAAATGTCGATCCACTCTACCCCAGTGAGGCAGGTTCAACGTAAGTTCAACTACGCAATCAATGACGCAGTGTGGGAAGAAGTGGAAAAATTATTGGAAAACGACTCTGTCAGAGAGTCGAAGTACCCCCAATGGGTCGCCAACGTGGTCATGGTGAAAAAGAAGAACGGTAAGTGGCGGATGTGTGTAGATTTCACCGACCTGAACAAATCTTGCCCCAAGGATTCGTTTCTATTACCTCATATCGACCAGCTCATCGACGCGGCAACCGGGTATGAGTTACTAAGTTTCTTGGATGCCTACTCAGGCTACAACCAGATCCTTACGGAGGAAGAGGACCAGGAAAAGACCACCCTCATCACCAACCAGGGGACGTACTGCTACAGGGTCAGGCCTTTCGGATTGAAAAATGGGGGGCAACTTACCAAAGGTTGTGACGAAGATGTTCAAAGAACAACTTAGAAAAATGATAGAGGTATGCATCGACGACATGCTGGTCAAGTCCAAAAGGAAAGAAGATCACATCGACCACTTAAGAGAAGCATTCAGCATACTCAAGCAATACAACATGAAACTGAACCCCAAAAAATGTACATTCGATGTGGCCTCATGGAAGTTCCTGGGTTTTCTAGTATCGCAGCGGGGTATCGAGGTCAATCCCGACCAAATCAAGGCCATCAACGGGATACCACAGCACTTGACCACCAAAAACTAGGTCTAGAAGCTAGCCGGCCATATCACTGCTCCTTCGAGTTTCATCTCACGATACTCCGATAGGTGCCACAAGTTCTTCGGCATACTCAAAAAGGATAATGGCCTCCAATAGACCTATAAGTGTGTCCAAAACCTGAAGGAGTTAAAGGTATACTTGTCCTCTCCACCGCTGCTCTCAAAACTAGAACCAGGACAACCTCTCCTTATCTATCTCGCCGTGTCCGAAGTAGATGTGAGCGCAGTCTTAGTCCAAGAAAATAAAGGTACGCAATCTCTCGTCTATTACATTAGCAAGACACTAGTCGACGCCAAGACCAAATACCCCCATCTTGAAAAACTGGCTCTGGCCTTAGTCGTAGCTTCACGAAAGCTTAGACCGTATTTCCAATGCCATCATATCTCGGTCGTCATGACTTCCCCTTAAGAAGCATTTTACACAAACCCGAACTATCGGGTAGATTGGCCAAATGGGCCATTCAACTAAGCGAGCATGATATTACATATCGACCGCGAATGGCAATAAAGTCTCAGGTCCTTACCGACTTCAGTGCGCATATACTACCTGAAGTCGAAAGGGAAACCGTCCACGTTTCTTCCCAAACACAACACCTCTTGGTCCTATACACCGACGACACATCTAACGCGTCAGGGTTCGGGCTGGGACTCGTACTCAAAGTCCCAACATGCGAAGTAATTCGCCAATCCATAAGGTGCCCGTACATGACTAATAATGAGGCCGAGTATGAGGCCGTAATTCTAGGACAATGACTAGCACTCAAATACGGGGCGAAGCGGCTAGGGTTGCGCTATGATTCTCAGCTCGTGGTCAAGCAAGTCACATGGACTTTCCAAATCATGGAGCAAAGGTTACAAAAATACCAGACCGAAATCTACAAACTACTACCTGAGTTCGACGAATGTCAGTTCGATCAGATTCCCTGAGCACATAATATCAAGGCAGATGGCCTCGCCAAATTGGCAACAACCACCAAAAACATTACAACCGGAGACCAAAATGTGATCCACCTCCTCAACTCGTCGATAGACCAAATCGAGGTAAGAACTATAAACCTGACTTGAGACTAGCGCAAACGTATTATTACATATTTGCAGTGCGGCGTACTCCCCAACAATAAAAAAGAGGCCAAGAAACTTTGAATGCAAGCGGACAGATACAACATCGTTCACAATGACATGTACAAAAGACATATGGCGGCCCTCTGGAGAAATGCTTAGGCCTAAATCAGACACGCGTCCTTGAAGAAGTACAAGAAGACCACTATGGAGCTCACTCACGCAATTGAGCTTTGGTCAGGTGCCTCAAACGAGCACAGTATTACTAGCCCATCATGAAAAAGAAGGCCGCGGATTTTGTGAAAAAATATGAGCAATGCCAGAAATACGCCCCAATGATCCACCAAGCAGGCGAACACCTACACTCAATAACTTCTCCTTGTCCGTTCATCAAATGTGGAATGGACATCGTGGACCCCCTCCAGGCGGGACGAGGTAACGTACGATTTCTCTTGGTTTTAACTGACTATTTCTATAAATGGGTGGAAGCAGGAGCAGTCGCCCAAATACACGAACAGGAAGTGATCGCCTTCATATGGAAAAATATCATATGTCATTTCGGTCTCCCCAACGAAATCAGATGCGACAACGGACCTCAATTTGCAAGAAAGAAGGTCGCCGACTTTTTTGAAAAATGGCACATCGAAAGAATACTGTCAACACCTTACCACCCCACGGGCAACGTACAAGTGGAGTCCTCCAACAAGTCAATACTGAACATCACGAAGAAGAGGCCAAGGGACTGTGGCCAAAAATATTACCAGAAGTACTTTGGGCCTACCGAACAACGCCAAAAACGAGCACAGGGAAAACACCATACTCGTTAGTCTATGGGACTGATGCAGTAATACTAGTCGAGGTCGGGGAGCCCAACCCTGAGATACTTCCATGAAAGCGGACCCCAGAATGATGACAGTAGAAGGTAGGGACTCAACAAAGTTGGGGAACGAATAGATATGGCCTACGTGAGGATGATCTCCCAAAAGCAACAAGCAAAATGCTACTATAACAAAAGAGCAAAGATCAAGCCACTTAAAGTCGGGGACTACATGCTTAAAGCTAAAACACAAGCAAGCAAAGATCCACGGGAAGGCAAACTAGGAACAAATTGGGACGGCCCTTACAAAATCACAACAACAACAAGAAAAAGGTCATTCACACTAGAAACAGTGGAAGGAAAGTGATTACCAAACAATTAGAACATTACACACCTCAAGTACTTCAACTTTTAAAGGATGAGGTTCCCAAGGTCGCATTCTTTTTCCCTCACCCGAGTTTTGTCCCAATTGGGTTTTCTCGAGGAGGTTTTTAACGAGGCGATGACGGGGTGTAACGACCCGGCCAGTCATTTTAGTGAATTAAAGTCCCGTTCGGTGACATAAGATTTTGAAAAGCTTCGTATTATGTGCTATGACTTGCATGCGTGATCGAGTTCAGTTATCGAATTAATCAGAGTCAATTTGGAAGAAGAATTCTAGTTTTGGAAGCTTAAGCTGTAAGAGTTGACCGAAATTTAGCTTTTGTGTAAACGACTCCGGAATGAGGTTTTTGATGATTTCAACAGCTTTGTATGGTGATTTTGGACTTAGGCGTGTATTCGGATTTGGATTCGGAGGTCCGTAGGGTAATTTGAAGCATTTCGACGAAAGTTGAAAAAGTTAAAGTTTTGGAAGGTTGAGAGGTTTGACCAAGAGTTGACTTTGGTGATATCGGGGTCAGAATATGATTCTGAGAGTTTTAACAACTCTGTTATGTCATTTGCTACTTGCCTGCAAAATTTGACGTCATTCCGGGTTGATTTGATAGGTTTCGGCGCGAGTTTTAGATGTTGGAAGATTTGAAAGTTCATGAGTTCGATTCATGGTGCGATTCATAGTTTCAACGTTGTTTGATGAGATTTGATGCCTTAACTAAGTTCGTATCATGTTTTAGGATGTGTTGGTATATTTGGTTGAGGTTCCTAGGGCCTCGGGTGTGTTTCGGATGGGGCTATGGGCCATTTCCTTCTATTTTTGGACTGTTGTTTTGCTGGTACCTAGTTTCCTTAATTGCATTCGCGTCAATTCCCCTGCGTTCTCTTAGTGTAATTTTGGAGGATGAAATATTTACTCTTTGCGTTCGCATGCTTCTGTCCGAGATCGCGATGCATTAAACACCTTGGCAGAATATATAGTACTCTATTCTAAGGGTTAGCCATTTAAAACATTTTTGGAGTTCTAGAGCTCGGTTTTGAGCGATTCATTGTGGGTTTTTCAATCAAATCAATTGGGTAAGTGTTCCTCACCTAGAATTTATTATATTTCATGATTCTATATTTATTTTTATCATTAAATTAGTGTTTTGAGTTGAGGAAAAATAAGGATTTTGAAGAAAAGTTTCAAAATGTAAAATGATGATTTGAGGGACGAATTGCTATCAGAATTTGACAATTTTGGTATGGTTGAACTCGTATCGAAATGGGTATTCAAATTTTATAAAATTTGTTGGTTTCCGAGGTGTATGCCCGGGGCTCGACTTTTGGGTTGATTTTTAGTTTTTGATAAAGATTCAAGCTTCATTATCCGGAATAGTGTCTTATGAGTTTTATTTATGCTTTAAAGTTATTTTGGCTAGATTTGAGCCGTGCGGAGGTCATTTTACTTGAGAAGTTTGTTTTAGAGTGTCGGTCTATCTTCTTTGAGGTAAGTATCTTACCTAACTTCGTGTGGGGGAACTACCCCTTAGGATTTGAGTCTTCTATGCTAATTGTATCATGTTAAGTCGGTGTACGTGAGGTGACGAGTACGTGCCCGGGCTTATTTGTGTAAAGTTGACCTTTTAGGGGTCTTAGGTCTTTATGTTCACTAGATATGAAGTTGTTTTGCCATGATTGAGTTTCCTATTTACTAGTTTCACCTCTACGTGTTTTAATTGGAATTAACTGATTCATGATCCACCCTTATTGCCTATT